CGAGGGCAAGGGGAAGGGAAGCGGCTCGACCCAGAGGGTGGCGGTGGGCACGGGGGGGGCTCCGGGGGGGGGGGGGGGGGGGGGTCGGCCCGTGCGGGACATCTCCCCCGGGAAAAAAAATTAATAATATTAATAATAATAATAATAGTAATAATAATGTAATTGTAATAATGGCTGTAGTCGTTATAATTGTTGTGGCAGTTATTATAATAATCGCGGTGATAATAGCGGTAATAAAATAACCAAATAAATTACATTAAATAACAAAGAACAATAAATAACAAAATTTAAAAATAACGAAATAAATACTAATAAAAAATTTAAGGGAAAGGGGAAATCCTCCCAAAAAAGCACTTTGTCCCCACGGGGCGCGGGGACCCGCCGCCGGGGCCGGGTCCCCATATTGCACCAAAGCCCACGGCGGAGCCCCGGGGGCCGGTCCGCGGGGCCGCCGCGGGTGGGGGGGTGTGTGGAGGGGGGGTCTCCCCCTCCCTCCCCGCCACCTCGGGGATGGGGAGGGGTGTCGGGGAGGGGGTCAGTTGTGGAAGAAGGCGTTGAGCTCCTCGTACATGGGGCCCCGCTCGTGCGGGAGGTGCATGTCGTAGGGGAAGATGTTCTCGGAGTGGACCCCCCCGCGCATCCCCGCCGACCCGAAGACCAGGTTATGGGCGGCGGGGCGGGAGCCGGGCAGCGCCGAGTAGTGCATAGAGTAGTGGTAGCTTTTCTCGTGGTCGGGGGATGAAGAGTCCTGCTTGAGGGAGAAGTTGCCGTTGATGCAGAGCGGGGGGCTGAGCCCCCCGTCGTACTCCGAGCTGTTGTAGTCGGGGGAGGTGTTGCCGTAGAGGCTCTCGTAGGCGGAGGCGCAGTAGCCGTGTGTCCTCAGCCCGTGCGGCCCGGGGCCGGCGGCGGGCGGGCAGGGCGCCGCGGCCAGCCGCGAGCAGGGGTAGGGGTAGGGGTGCACGGCGAAGGAGGCGGCGTTGGGGCCGTGGAACCGACCCCCCTCCTGCCCCTGCTCCGTCAGGAAGTTGCGGGAGTTGAGCTGGAGGCAGCCGGCCACCAGGTTGGTGGTGGGCTGGGACAACCCCTTGCACAGAGTCTGCACGTAGGAGACCAGGTCGGGCCGCTTGCCCGAGCGCAGGATCTCGGAGAGAGCCCAGATGTAGTTCTTGGCCAAGCGGAGGGTCTCGATTTTGGAGAGTTTTTGGGTTTTGGAGTAGCAGGGAACCACCTTGCGCAGGTTGTCCAGGGCCGCGTTCAGGTCGTGCATCCGGTTCCTCTCCCGGGCGTTCGCCTTCTGCCGCCGCAGCTTCGACCGCTCCAGCCGCGCCTTCGTCATCTTCCTCTTCTTGGGGCCGCGCTTCTTGGGCCGCTCGCCCTCCGCCTCCTCCAGGCCTTCCTCCTCCTCCTCCTCCTCTTCCTCGTCCCCTCCTAGCTCCCCTTCCTCCTTGCTCTCCCCCAGCGAGCCCTCGGGCGGCTCCTCGGGGAGGGCGCAGCCCTTCCCCGCCCGCTCCTCCTTCTCGCTCCGGGCATCCTCCTCGCACTCCTCGGCCCAACCGGGGAATTTCGGGACTTCGGGGACCAGGCTGGGCTCGCTGAAAAGTCGCGTCAACATGGTGGCTGCAGCGGGGGGTAAAGAGCCAGGCGTTACCGGCGGCCCCGCCGCCCGCCCACCCCCCCCCGCCCCGCTCCCACCCGCCGGCACCGGCGAAAACGAATTGGGCGCGGGGCCGCCCGCCGCCGCCCCCCGCCCCGGCCGAACGACCCCGGGGGCACCGGGGCTCTCTCGGGGCGCGGCGATGCCCCCGCTCCCGACCTCCCCCCAACCCCACCGCCGGGGTCCCCGCGGCCGCCGCCCGCGCCCCCGCTCCCGCTCCTCCGCACCCACCCCCCCGCGCCCCCCGCCCCCGGCCCGCCCGGTGACCCCCTCCCCGGTGCCCCGAGGGCTGGGCCCGGTGTCGCCGGTCCTTCTTTGACGCCTCCAACTTTTCTCCGCCGCGGGCGCGGATCGACCCCGGCCGCGGCTCCGCCACCGCCGTCCCGTGGCCGGGGGGTCGAGGCGCAGCCGCCGCCCCCCCTCCTCGTACTCCCCCGTACCCCTCGTACCCCCTCCGGCCCGGTCAGCCCCGCCCGGTGCCCCCCCATCCCCGCCCCGGGGCTCCCCGCGGCCGCCGGAGCGGGGCCCGTAAAAT